TGGCTGGCTGTGGACACGGGGGCATGGTGATGGCGAGGTGGCTAGTTGGGTCTCAGAGCACCTTCCCACTTTGGGGCCTTGCTCCCAGGCTGACCTCCCTTCCTCTCCTAGAGGTTCAGCTCAGCTGTGGGAGATGTTCTGTGAAATCTAAACCTAACATCCGTTTTTCTCACTCCAGGACCTGGGAACCAGTCCCCCCACCCCAGACGCTGTCTGTCTGATGTGTGTGGTCAGGATAGCTGGGCTGGACAGACCTCACACCACTCAGTCAGGTGACACGACCTCCTCACTCCACAGCTCTCACCGCTGCACCAAGCCAAATTACTCAGCACCCCTCCCCCCAGCCCGGGGCTCTGATGAAATCTGATTAGTGAGAAGTGAGCCTCCCTGAGCTGATGCTTCCTCGATAATTGCTTCCCAAGTAAGCAAAGCATATCAGCTCTGGAGCTGCCCACCCTCTCCTGGGTGCCCAGGCATCCAGAGCCAGGAGACAGGGAACACCTGCCTCCCATTTAAACCCAAGCCATTGGCTTCTGAGGTCTTGGGACTGAGGTCGAATAAAGCCAATGGGTGCCCACCTTTCTACCTTCTCACCCCACTGGGGAAGTCCATGTCCCCATTTCTCTCCATGATAGAGGAAGGCAAACCTAGAGAACAGAGCAAGGAAATGGCTTGATATGAACTCATCTTTCCTGCCCCCCCCCCCCTTCTGGGAGGGAGGTGGGAGTTGGGGCTTTGGGAACCTGCAGGCAGCATCCTTTTCTACAGTCTCCTCCTGTCAGGCAAGCCCGGGAAGGCTAAGTCCTGGAGGAACTGGACACGCCTATAATAGATGCCTTTGCAGCATGATCTGCCTTTGAGGTTTCTGAGCCAAAGTCCAGTGGCCCTGGGTTCTCCCGGCACTGGTGCCCTCCTCTTCCCCAAAGCAGGACATTGTGTGGCTTTGATGTCTGTTGGACATTTATTTATCTATGAGTGTGTGATCATGTACCACCACGCACATAAAGGCCAAAGGACAGCCTGCAGCAACCAGTTCTGCCCTTCTACCATGTGGATTTTGGGGACTGAATTTAGGTCATTAGGCTTGGTGGCACCTTTATTTGCTGAGCCACCCTGCTGCCAGCTCCCCTTTCTTTTCTTCTTTAGACAGGGTCTGGCTGCATAGCTCAGACTAGTGCCAAGTTTGTGACCTTCTGGCCTCAGTCTGCTGACATTACAGGTGCATGGAACTACACCCAGAAAAAATGGCGTTTTTTTGTGCCTGCTAATTCTCCCTTAGTGCCTTTTAGTGCATGTGTGTGTGCACACCGGCATTGGATCCAGGGCTTGCGCACGCTAACCTGTACTTCACCACTGAGCTATACCCTGCCCTCCTTCCTTCAGCTTTACCTCAAATCCTTCCTTTTTCTGCTCTTTTCCTTTCTTCTAATCTCCTCTCGACCTTTGGAGACTGAAAGGCGCTTTGAAAATCTGAACTCCCAGTCCCAAACCTAGCTTGGGCAAGCTGTGGTCTCCGATGGACTCTGCAGGGATGAGTTGGCTAGTATTGTGCCTTTGTGTCTGGCCAGGAGGTTGAGGGCTCAGCCCAGCATCCCGCCTGCCCGCCTGCCTGTAGCCATAGCAACAAGGACTAACACAGCCCCTTCTGGGCCGGCCCTTAAAACACTTTGCCAGTTAATTTATTATGAAAGACGGATTTCAACGATTGTCCCATTTAACGGCCGGGATAACCGAGGCACAGAGAAGTGAAGTAACCTGTCTGAGGTCCCCATTAGTAAGCTAAGAGCATGACTGCAGATCTAGGCCTGGTTCCAGACTATCAGTTTTCATTCTAATGTTCGCTCATGTTTGTTGACCTGGCTGAGAAACAGGGCCTCGGAGCTCCGAAAAGTCTTTTGGCGTTCCCCAGGGAAGTGGCCAGGTGACGCCTGGTTCCCGGAGAGGGAAAAGCATGCCTTGCATTCATCCAATAGGCAACTTCAGCTTTGTGCAGCCAAGGCCCGTTATGGGGAAAGGGCTGCCTGGTCTAGAAATCTTAGCGAGGCAAAGCTAGCCCCCTCAACGGCCGATAGATGGCGCTCGTGGCCCAACACAGCTCCTGCAGCTTTGGGAAACCGGAGGGAAGCAAGAAAGCAAGTTAACCCTTCCACACCCATGCAGGCCCAGTAGGCTGCTGGGCCTCGGGCCGTTCCGCAGCCCAGGGCGCACCTGGCGCACCTGCGAGCTCTTCCTTGACCATGGGCAGGATCTACTGTCGCCCCAGGCTCTCAAGGCCATCAAGAACTGTCAGCCTGTAGCTTGGAGGCTTCCGAGGGCTAGGAGACTAGGGAAGGGCTATGCCCACCTCTCAGCTCTGGGGAGTCTCTGCTTCTCATTTCTCAGCATCTTTCCTGCAGCAGAGCTCTACGCCCACAGATTCTGAAAGGCTTCCTGAGCAGACTGTTCTAGGAGAATTTAGAAAGATGGGATGCATGATGGCTCATAGAGGTCAGCCTTAGTCAGCCTTTAGCTGGCTGTCTGTGGCTCTGTCTCTCTCAGGGACTTGCTCTGAGTTTCCAGTGGATTCCTAGGACAGAAAAGCCACTCAGGTGGTGGGCATATTTTTTTTTTAATTTTTGTTTTTGAGATAGGGTCTCCGTATGTATTCCAGAGATCTGTCTTCCCCAGCTTCCTGAATGCTGGTGTTAAAGGCAAGAGCTACCATGCCAGGCAGGTGGGAGCATTTTGTGGGGTCTCTGCTTTCTAGTTCCTCACTTTGCTTATGGTTGTTCTGCTGGAGGCCAGCTCAGGTGCTGGGGGGTTGTAAAGACCAAGAATTGGACTGGGGGTCGTGGCCTACATGGGCCTTTAATCCTAGCACTGGGGAGACAGAGTCAGGCCAGCCTGGTCTGCATAGTGAGTTCTAGGACAGCCAAGATGAGACACTGTTACAAAACAACTACCCCCACCCCTGAAACAGGAACAAAAACCCAACTGGAAGATCTGGGCAAACCAAAAAGTTGTGGGGGACAGGGTTATCTGAAAGGATGGTGGATCCTATGATTAATTTCTTTCATCCCTTCATCAACCTCTTTTCTCTCCTTTCTGGATAAGGTTTCACTTAGCTCAGGCTGGCTTCAGGTGTGACAGATAGCAGAGGAACTTCTTGAACTTATGGTACTCCTGCCTCCCTCCCAGAGCTGTGGGATTATGGTGCTCTACCTCATTAGGCTCTTAGGATTCTTAAATGATAAGACCCTTCTCCCTTCTCCCTTCCTTTTGTTTGGAGAAAGGATAGTGGAGATAGAAGGTCTTGCTCTAGAAGCTTACTTTCATTCATTTCATAGGAAGGAGAGACATTGAGATACACCCGGGAGAGACAGAAAGGAAGCCCTGGGAGAGGCGAGTGACACACCTGGACTTGCACAGAAATAAAGCAGCAAGATGCTGCTGCACGGAACAGGTGGGCAGCTGGGAAGCCTGTGGTCTCACCTTTACGCTGGCAGTCAGGGCAGCTGCCCACTGCGTATTTGTCATGGGGCACTAAAACAGGCTGGGCTCCCTGGTTTTCTTCCCTAGCCCACTGGGGGACCTTGCTTTGATGCTGAGAACCCTGGCTTTTCAGGCATATGTGTTGGGGGAGGTGGAGGGACCCAGAGGATAATTTTCCACAGACGATTCTGTTTGGGTAAAACACTCATAGTGAGCAAACAGAAACTTCCAGGTAGACAGGAACAAAGCAGGACTTGAACAGCTTTGGAAGTCGGTGCAGAGGGGACAGACATTTAGGTACATTTGAGGATTAGGATTTGTCGGGAAGGCTTTCTGGGTAGGCTGTTCTAGGAGAATTTGGAAAGATGGAATATGTAAGGGTTATTTTTATATGTCCACTTATGTGGGTGAGAGGACACCCAGAGAGTTGGTGAACAAGCAAGTAAGCAAGCAAAGAAATAAACAAAAATCTGAGGTTTGAATTGGTACTCCAAGTCAGGAAGATTCTCCTTACCAACCTGGGTGGGCAGCACCCAGCCTCTTCAGAGACCAGGGGAACAAACGACTGAGGAAGGACTCACTCTCCAGTGTGCCTTCAACTGAAGGTCCTGCTTCAGCTACTCAAGTCATTAGGTTGCAGGTGTGTACAAGTCCACCAACCATCCTAGCTTCCGGTTCTGCTCGTGCAGACTGGGCCATCCACCCTGTGCCTTCAGACATGGGAGGCCTGTCCGAGGGCTTGGTTCTCAGGTCTTTCCATCTCTGAGGCGTCTATCAGAAGTGTCTCCGTAGACCCACTCCGTGCGCAGACAACTGCAGAGGGCTTTCCTGGCACTCCAGCTTACAGACGGCAGGTCCCATAGGACTGTGAGCGCATTTCCACAGTACATCTCCTCACATGTTTGGGCTCTGCTTCTCTAGAGAGCCCCGGATCAGCATACAGGCAGATGTAAGACAACAGGGAAACTTTAAAGTGAGGCGAGGCTGTGGAGGACGCTAACGGCAGTGGGGGTGTTCACTGTCAGAGATGGGTGATGAAAGAAATGCCTTGGATATTTTGTTTGGTGGTTTGTTTTGTTTTTTTTTTTTCCGGACAGGGTTTCTCTGTGTAGCCCTGGCTGTCCTGGAGCTCACTCTGTAGACCTGCCACTACCACCTGCCTCCTTGGATGTCATGCACACAGTAATGGGTCGTGGAGGGCTGCAAAGGTCATAGAGGGCTCACAACTTGGGGAAGCATCGGGGCTAGAAAGGGTCTCTGATGGGTGCGGTATTGGAGATGGCTGGAGAGTGCAGATTATTGTGAGGTCTTGGGTTAAATCATCTTATTAAACTACAATCCCCAGCGACCCGTGGAGCTCTTCCAGGGAGCTTTTCGGGGATTTGGCATTTCCGGCGGAAGCGGACGCTGTTAGCCACTCGCCTTATTTATAGACCGCTGACTACGACTCCCAGTGTCCTTCGCACCGGAACGAAGGAAGGAAGCGGAAGCTGCATGGGGAGCTGGTGCAGGTGAGGGAGTAGGGGGCTGGATATCTGCGCGGGACCGAGGGGCCTCGCGGGGCTCGGAGGGGTCGTGCCGCTGTGATTTCCAGGCCTACAAGGGCCACGATGAGCCCTGCAGCGCTGTTTTGATTTAAAGCCCGCGCATTCCTGGAGTGCCTACAACGGGCAGGGGCTGACCAGGGGCTTGGATCCTTCCTTTTATTTTAGGTTTATTTGTTTATGTATTTTATACATACGGGTGTTTTGTCTGCACACCAGAAGAGGGCATTGGATCCTATAGGACTACAGTTAGATTGTTGTGAGCTGGGGATTGAACTCAGGACCTTTGGAAGGCCAGCCAGAGCTCCTACCTGCTGAGCCATCTATCCCAGTATGGCCTGGATTCTATTAGCCTGGAGTTAATTTCACAAAGGTCGAATGCAAGTATGAAGTCTAGCCTTGACCACATGTATCTCAGGGTCGCCCTTTGCTTTTAAATGTAATTTGGAGTATGAGACACATTGTTTTTTGCTTTTTAAGAAAAAAAAAAATGCACCTAGTCCAAGTTGGTTTAAGCGTTGCGTGGGAGAATGCTCTCGATGTTCTCATCTTTCTGCCTCCACCTCCTGAGTGCTGGGTTTATAGGCATGCACCTCCACACCTGGTTTATGATCCTGGGGTCGATCCCGAGGCTTCATACACCCTTGTACATGAATGTCCACTGAGCTGCCGTGTCAGCCCAGTAAAGTTATGGCTGTTGGTGACTGTAGGTAGATCTGCCAGGCTTCCCCTTACTGTCCCTTTAATGTTTTGTCGTGGATAGTGAAGCTCAGATTATACTGTATTTCAGCATGTTTATCTGTCCTCTTAGTCCATGACTTACTGAAAGCCTATCTTACATTTTATTCATTTTGGAGTTATTCCCCCAGCAAGAGACTGATATGGAAGGGACTTATAACTATTTTAAGAATAAACAACAGCCGGTGGTAGGCTAGTGGACAATGTGGTTCTTCCTATGGAGAAGAACCTTAAAATGACGTTTGCAAGAAAAGACGTTTCTTAGATGTGTAGGCTGGCAGGGTGCTGCCGCCAGACCTGATGGCTGACCTGAGATCGATCCTCAGAGCCTTGACAGAAGAAGAGGAAGGAGAAGAAAAAGAGGAGGAAGGAGAACAACAACACCAACCACCAGCTCTCACATGTGTATGTACTGTGGCCGCTCTCCCCAGTAAGTAAATAAATGTTAAGAGAGAAAACCTTTTAAGAGATAAACGAGGGCTAGAATTCAAGTTAGCTGACTTTTGGCTGGTGGTACATGCTATCAGACCCTGCTTTGAAAATAAGTAAAACAGTGAAAATAAGGTCTTGACATTTTGTGTATGCCCATCCTTGCTGTGTTCAGCAAACCCATCTTAGACCTGAGATACAGATATCTTGGCTTCACAGCTAACCTTGTGTGTGATGTGCCAGGCAGTTTGTTTCAGTGAGAGAGGAGAGGTCGATTTGGGCTCACAATTTAAAAGGTTCTAGTCCCAGATGGCTTGTGCTGAGGCAAAGCTGCTCATATCGTATGTTAGCCAGGAAGCAGAGAGGGCGGTGGAGGGAAGGTACCAGGGCTGAGATACACCCTTCAGAGACACCCCTCACACACACAATTTCCAATAGCCTATGAAGTTAGTGTCCTCTGTTATTCGGCCATCTCTCAATAGCGCCACCAGCTGGAGGCCAAACCCTCAGCATTTTATAATCCTAGTGTGTGGGGTGGAGGCTGGTCTCTGAGGATGTTCTGGTATACCGAAGAGGCAAAGCACCAAGGAGATGGTTGGAGCTGCCTCTTGCAGAGAGAGAGTATGAACTGGATGTGTTGGGCCACCTGCTTGGTTGGCTGCTGGTTGATACCCTGATTAACTCAAGGGTCATATGAGGTTGCGTTTGTAGAAATGACCTCTGCAAAGTTTTGGGAGTTGGGGCAGGAGAGACATTTTGAAAGTGAGTGGAGTGGCTGGGGCCAGCTCTGGGCGTGCTGCAGTGTGAGAAAGAGCATCTGCTGTGGTTCAGATGTGGTTCAGAAGACTTGCCGCTGAGTTCCTCCCCTCCCATTCGCAGCCAGCTTTATGAAGTGGGCATTATTATCCTTAGTATTCAGATGTGAAAACCTGCGGCTCTTGGCCATGGTCGCGTAGCTTGTAAGAGTCTATTCAGAGCCTAGTAATCATCCTGCTGATCTCTGAGGAGTCTTGAGTGTGGGAAATAAGCTGGGCTGGGCTGGGGTTAGGGGCTTGTAGAATTAGGAGGGTGGCTCATAAAACCATCTAAGGCAAGATGGTATGGGTGGTTAAGAGCATAGTGTGAGTCAGATAGTGTGAGTTCAAATCCCAGCTTCATTACTTGAGAACCTCACGACCCTAGGCAACCTGCTTGATCTCGTTAAGCCTCAGTCTCCTGGCTTGTAACATGGGAGCAATAATACCCACCTCATGGGGTTGTTATGAAGATCAATGAGGTGTACCTGGCGTGGAGCAATTGCCTGCCACCTGGAAGCTGCTGTAATAGCCCTCCCAAGCCTCTGGGCTGCACACCTGCATCTCATTCGTCAGCTCGGGGTTTTCAGGACATGCTCATCCTGGCTGGACTGGTTTATTAAGGATGACATTGGGGAGAAAGGATGGCAGCAGGGGTGTCCTGACAGTGTGGCCTGGTGCAGGCTGTAATCCCAGCGCTTTAGAAGTGGAGGCAGGAGAATCAGGAGTTTATGACCATCATTGGCTGCATAGCAAGCCTGAGGCTAGTCTGAGCTACCTGTGGTCCTGTAACAATAAATACATAAGGAAGGGGAAGAGATGTGACTCAGTGGTTAGGAGTACATACTGCTTTTGCAGAGAACCCGAGTTCAGTTCCCAGCACCCACCTGAGCTCGCAACTTTCTGTAACTCCACCTCCAGGGCCTCCAATGCCGTCTTCTGGCCTCCTTGATCACCACACATATGTCACACACGTGCACACACACATGCACACACACAAAGCAGATATTTTTCTTTTGGAGGGTGTTTTGTTTTTTGAGACAGGGTCTCTTCGTATAGCCACAGCTGTCTTGGAACTCACTCTGTAGACAAGGCTGGCCTCAGAATTCACCGCCTACCCCTGCTTCCTGAGTGCTAGTATTAAAGGCATGTGCCACTACCTTCTGGTGGTGTGAGGTGTTTTTTGAGATAGTTTCCTACATAGCCCTGGCTGTTCTGGACTTTACTATATCTAGACCAGGCTGGCCTCAAACTCAGACATCTACCTGCCTCTGAAGTGCTGGGATTAAAGGCATTATTAAAATGCCTGGCACATTTTTCTTAAAAGAAACGTACCCCCCCCAAAAAAAAAAGAGAAAAAAAATATTAAGTATGCATGTTTGCTTGTATAGGTTGTAATTCCACTTATTTCAGAGGTTTGAGGCAGCAGGATCACAAGTTCAGGGCCAGCCTAGGCTACCGAGTAAATTCAAGGCCAGCTTGAATAACTTAGTGAGACCACCACCTCCATCAACACGTGAAAAGGGTTAGGAGTGTCCAGACACTGGCCTAGCAAGGTCAAGAACGTGATGGAGGGGAGAGAAAGAGAGTCAGAGAAGGAATGAAGAAAGAAATGTGCTGTGTGTTCAGTGAGGCCTAAGAACCTGTGGCTCAGCCTCACCTGATGGAAGGTTTGGAATGCGGTGCTATCTAGACCAACTTGACAGGGTCTGGAATCACTTTGAAGACGAATCTCTGGGTGTGTCTGCAAAAGGGTTTCTAAATTAGGTTAATTGAGGTGAGAAAAGCTAAACTAGATTTGCATGGTAGCATCCCACAGGCTGGGGGCTAGGCTGTCTTAGGGTTTCTGTTGCTAGGATAAAACACCATGGGCAAAAGCAAGTGAGGGAGGAAAGGGCTTGTTTTAACTGTTTTGTACCACAGTCCATTATCAAGGAAGTCAGAAGTCCAAGCAGGAACCTGGAGCAGGAGTTGAAGCAGAAGCCATCGACGACTGCCGCTTACTGGCTTGCTCCCCATGGCCTGCTCAGCCTGCTTTCTCATAGCACCTAGGACCCCCAGCTCAGGAGTGACAGAGCCGACAGTGGCCTGGGCTCTTCCATGTTAATCACCAATTAGGAGAACAGGGCAGTCTTGTGGGCATTTTCTCAGCTGAAGATCCATCTTCCAACATGACTTTAGCTTGTGTCAAGTCCACGTAAAAACTATCCAGCACAGCATAAAAAGGAGACCTTTAGCTAGGTGTGGTAACACACACCTTTATCTCAAGTAGAGACAGGAGGATCTTCATGAGTTCAAGGCCAGCCTGGTCAGTATATCATTGAGCCCTACCGTCTCGTAGAACCAAGGGTGGTGGTGGTGTTCAGATAGATCTAGTTGAATGTAGGCGTCCATTGCTTTCTGAGTTGACTATGGCCCCTGCAGCCAAGACCTACCATGATGAACTGTACTCTCTGAGAGATGAAATAAATCCTTCATTTGCCTTTGTAGATGCTTTGTTGCAACAAGACAAGCAACTATGTAGGATGCTTGGATGTATCAGAAAGAGGAAGGTTCTGGAAGTGGGGAGCAGAGGCCTCTTCGTTAGCAGGAACTTGAGTGAGCTTGTAACTGACAGGGTTTCCTAGTCTTTCTTCTGAGCCCAGGAAATGATAGGAGGGCCCCCGGCTGGTGCAGATCCTAACATTAGGTTGAGGTTAAAGGAAACGCTGTCTGCTTCTTTTCCAGGTGACGGTGTCATGGCTGTGTCCCAGACATTTCCACCAGGGCCTACCCATGAGCCTACAGGTGGCTTGATGGAGCCTCTGCCTTGCACTCGAAGCTTGGCTGATGGCTTCCTGGAGGAGGAGCTCTGGCTCAATGCAGAGCTGAGCCAGCTGCAGTTTCCAGAGCCTGTGGGTGTCATTTACAACCCAGTGGACTATGCTTGGGAGCCACACCGGAACTACGTCACTCGCTACTGCCAAGGCCCCAAGGAAGTGCTCTTCCTGGGCATGAACCCAGGACCCTTTGGCATGGCCCAGACCGGGGTAAAGACCTGGCTTCCTCTGGTGGGCAGTTCTGAGGTGGAGGAGGAACCTGTAAATGGCTGGCACATGGGTGGAACACCCGCCCCGTCCCCTGCAGGACACACGCTGGCTCCTGTGGTCTCCAGCACTCTCTCTGCCTCTCTGTTTGTAGTTAACCAAGCACATTAATGCTAGTTCCATTTCCCCGTGAGCTCTCCACTAATTGCCTTGGAGAGGCCTTCCTTCCGCCTTCCTGCCCTGCACCTTACCTTGCCGGATCTCCCTGGTCCCTCGGGTGCAGTTGGAGCCAGGAGAAGCTAGAAGTGCTGGGACTGCTGGAGCCTCCAGGAAGACTGGCTGGGGGTGGGAGGAGGGTGTAGGAGTTGCAGGGCATTCTGGTGGCAAGTCCCTCTGTCTCCAAAAGGTGCAGAACAGAGCCAAGCTCAGGGCTGCCTGCCTTCCCTTAGGGAGCAGGATGAGTGTTGTTTAGTAGGGGTGCATTGCAGGTGGGGGAGGTGAAGAGGCCTCAGGGCATGAGGCTCAATCGCTTTTATTGACCCCAACTGAGTGCTGAAAGGTGATCAGTGATGATCGATGGAAATGACAGCCTGAGGCCTGGGGCTCGGAGGGTACCCAGCGATCAGCCGTCAGCCTGTCCTGTCTCCTTTAACCACGATGATCTGTCTGTCCCCAGTATTAGAATCATGACCTCTGTAGGGCCAAACGCCCGTGTTCTGCCAGTATTTGGTCCCAGTGCCTGGAGAAAGTAGAGGCGCACAGTTTTTGCTGGTCACTGTCCACAGTGGGAAAAACCGAAGGAAAACAGAAGCCAGAGAGTCCTTAACACAGACCTGTAGGCAAAGGTAGAGGTGGGCAAGGTCATCATGGTCGGTAAAAAAGGGTCAGGTCTTCGGTCTGAAGCCCCTTGTGTCTCTCTGCTTCGCTCACAGGTTCCTTTTGGGGAAGTGAATGTGGTCCGGGACTGGTTGGGCGTTGGGGGCCCCGTGCTGACCCCTCCCCAGGAGCACCCTAAGCGGCCAGTGTTGGGACTGGAGTGCCCACAGTCAGAGGTGAGCGGAGCCCGATTCTGGGGCTTCTTCCGGACCCTCTGTGGACAGCCCCAGGTCTTCTTCCGGCACTGCTTTGTCCACAACCTGTGTCCTCTGCTCTTCTTGGCTCCCAGCGGACGAAACGTTACCCCAGCGGAGCTACCGGCCAAGCAGCGGGAGCAGCTCCTGGCAGTCTGCGAGGCGGCCCTCTCCCGGCAGGTGCAGCTGCTAGGCGTGCGGCTGGTAGTGGGAGTGGGCCGGCTGGCCGAGCAGCGGGCTCGGAGAGCCCTGGCAGGGCTGGCCCCAGAGGTGCAGGTGGAGGGGCTCCTGCACCCCTCCCCTCGGAGCGCACAGGCCAACAAGGGTTGGGAGGCAGCAGCCAGGGAAAAACTCCAAGAGTTGGGGCTGCTTCCTCTGCTAACGGATGAATGCCAGGGCCAAGCCTAGCCGTAGTGTAGACCCCAGTCAGTCATGCTGGGCCCCGATGCAGGGCTCTCAGCCTCTGGACTGTCCTCTAATGGTCAGGCAGACTGATCCCTGGCTGGGCAGCTCTCCTGCTGTCTTCCTCCCTCCGAAGTGCCTCCGCAGAGGGTGGGCCTGTGTGTTCCCGCCACGTCATTTCTTGGGAGCCTCTGTGTGCGGGTCCTAGGTAGGGCTGTCTGAGGTCATGTTTGCAGTTTTGGAGGAAAGATCATTTAATTTTAATCTTTCCATTTTTGGGGCTTTGTTTTTGGCACTGCTCTCTAACGCTGATCTACCTCAGCCTTTTTTACACTAATTGTACATATTAGTGGGTTCAGCGCGCCGTTTTCACAGATGTAGTCAGTGAACACCGATCCACACTTCCCCTCCCCCAGCCAGAGAGCACTCTTCCCAGGGTCCCTCCTCTGGCAGAATCCTGTCCTCTCAGGGACCAGGACAGACATCATGCTGAGAATGAACTCCTTAGCCAAGCATCCTGCGTGTCCTTGTAATCTCAGCACTAAGAGGCAGGAGGATGAGGAGTTCAAGGCCATCTTCAGCTACAATGGAGGCCAGCCTGCAATACATTATGCTCTGTCTCAAAAGTAAGTAAGTAAATAAGGAACAAAAAGACCCGAAGCTGGATCTCAGGAGACTTCTCTGTGGTAGACTAGGAAAGATCTAGATTTTCATCCTTTGTGTGTGTGTGTGTGTGTGTGTGTGTTTTAATCCTATAAGGCCTATGAGTTTTTAAATTTTTTTATTTTATTATTTTTTAATAGGGTTTCTCTGTGTAGCCCTCATTGTCCTGGAACTCACTCTGCAGACCAGGTTGGCCTCAAACCCAGAACTTCTGTGTGTAACACCTCACTCTATTTTGTTTTGTTATTGTTTTTAAATTTTGAAGTAAGGTCTCGTTGTGTTGGCCTGGAACTCATCGTGCAGACAGGATCTACTTTGACCTCTGCCTGCTGAGTGCTGGGATCAGAAGTGCACCTGGGCTGGCCTGCTTATGAACGCCCTCTCTAAGCTTCAAGACCCTCTGTAAAGGGCGGGGGTGCTGCCTGCAGGCTCTGTGTGAGGTGGGGTTGCCTGAGGCAGCTTTGCAGAGCGCTTTGCAAATGGCTGGTGCCTGGTGCTTACTGCATACTCTTTCCACTTGGCTCTCCCTGAGCTGGGCCATCAGTGCACCACGTGGGAAACCTCCACCTGCTTTGAAGACCTTTGCTTACAACCCTGCTGGGGAGGACCGATGTATGAAAAACTCAGTCTGTGACTTTTCAGACAAAGCATTAAACACTTCCAAGCCTTCTTGTGTTGGCTCTCCCCTCTGCCCTTCACCAGAGGGGAGATGCTGCTTTTAGGATATTTCCTCCCTTCTCTTCCCTATTCACTGTTTGCACAAACTTCTCTCAGTAGCTTGGGGAGGGGTATGTGAGGCCTTTCATTGCCCTCGCCAAGCTGCAGGGCTTCTGGAGGGGCCTGTCCTGAGGGTCATCAGGTACTTGGGCACCACTGGGACCAATGGGGAGGCTGCTGTGGTGTGGGCTCTTGAATGGCTGGTTGGGTGATCTGAACCACAGTGAGAGCAGGTCTCAGGACCCCTTAATGAGAGCATGTGGTCTCCTGGGACACAGGTCATCTCCAGCATTCTTAACAGTAGTAAGATTTTCATCAGCCATCTTCTCCTAAGTGGGAGGCTAAATCTTTGATGTTTCCTTGTGATAGAAGTGTCATTATTATTCAGAGCATACCAGAATTTGTTGAGATTTGACTCAAGGATGGAGGTAAACCCTTCAGAACGGCCAGCCATATGCTTTGAGGCCAAGATGGGATAAGAATAGAGACTGAGCTCAGCCGTGTGGCCCATGAACTCAACGAGTTATACCTACACAATGACCCTGACCAGAGCTTCTGCCAAGTGTGCCAGTTGGTGAATATATACACCTGTTCTCTTTCGAGGCAAGTGGCACTGGTTTGTATATTCATTCATTGGTTCATTGATCCATCCATTGGTTGATTCATTCATATGCTCTGTGCATCATTTTGGAGCTGCAGGAGTCTGTGGGTGTGAAGTGGGTGCTGTCTGTCACCGAGCTGCGCCCCTTGATTTGTTTTTGCGATAAACTGTAGTAAATAAACACTGTTTTCTCCCTGAGTTTTGTTTTGTAAATTACTGAAGCTGAAGGGTTTCTGGGAATCCTTGAGTTTATAGGTAGCTGGTCAGAAGTACCACTGGCTTCTGAGGTGATGGCAGCCATGCTGGGGACCCTTTCGCAGCTGGTGGAGTCTGTGTAGGCCCCAGGGAGCCATTGTCAGAACCACCTCACAGCAGCCCACCAGCACATGCTGTGGTCTTCCGGCCTCTCTGCAGCTCCTGCTAAGGATGGATCACTGTGGTAGCATCGTGAAAGCTGTGAGGTGACGCTCTCTTACGTGTTTAGCGGGGGTGGCCTTGAGGACTGGCAAAGTCAGAGCTTAGAAGAGGGCAGCATCATGTCCAAGAGGGAAAAGACTAGTGAAGAGTTGGCCGAGTGGGAGAAAAGGTGTGGAATAAGTTAGCCAGCTTGTGCAGGTTCTTGACCACTAGGCTAATCTTTGAGAATTTAGAGCCGAGTAAGCAATCAGATGCATGGACTACACATAAAGACACAGCGGATAAACGCCTATGAGTGAAGGAGCCCAACCAGGCAAACATCACAGAGCTACGTCTGGAAAAAGTTTATTTTGGCTCACAGTTTGAGCATTTCCAATCCACGGCCACCTGGCCAGCTGCTCCTGCCCCAGTTGCACGGTCCGTCCATGTTACCTGTGTGGCAGAGGGACCCTGCTTGCCTCATGGCAGGGGTAAGGGCTGGAGTCCCAGCATGTCCTCTGAGGAAGCAGCAGGTCACTTCACTTCCTCCACTAGGATCTACTCTACCTCTTAAAGGCACTACACCTCCCTGGAGGACAAGAAGCTGGTGGCCAGCCTAAAAGCATGGCTTCTGGGGAACACTGAAGGCCCAAAGTTAGGCAAACAAAGTGAAGACCGTAGTGAAGATAAGGCTGCAGGGGGGAGGAACGGGCAGTGAGGGATTGATACGTAGTGGGAACACATAGCCTGTGCACCTGGCTGGTAGAGACCAATGGTGCCTCACAGGCCTGCCTGTGGCAGTCACTTCCTGTTCTGACTACAGCAGGGCTCTCACCTTCCATTCCTCCCGTGTGACTCCTCAGAGATGGGTTAGGGTCCTGAGCCTGCTAGGGTTGCCATAAGAAAATACCCGGGCTGGATGGCTTCAACAATGGAGTTTATTTTCTCATAATTCTGGCCACTGAAGGTCCAAGACGACAGCGTTAGCAGCTCGGGCCTCCGGAGGCCTGTCTTCATTGCAGCAGCTGGCGTCTGCACCCTTGCGTAGCCTTTGCCTTGTGTGGCTCTGTGGTGTCCCCCCTTCTTTCGTAGAAGGGAACCAATCATCGGATTATTGCTTCACCCTCAGGGTTTCACTTAACCTTTCTTTAATGTGTCTTCATTTATTTAAAGGATCTATCTTCAAATATTAGGGCTTTAGCATATGAATTCAGTTCATAGCAGCAAAGTCATTTCACTCCTTACCAAGGTTAACTTCAAATAAGATAGTGTGCGCAGGAGAGCTCCCCCTCCCTCCATGCTTGGAGCCTGGTCTGGGTGCTTGTCTAGCTGTCCAGACCTAGTTCCATGGCTGCTACCAGTTAAGTCAGAGGAGGTTTCCTCAGTGCAGGGGAGTAGGCCTCACTGCCGTCCCAGAGTGGGATGGGATGCCTAGGGCCTGTCCGTCCACCTGGAGGTCAAGCTCTTTTCACTGAGAGACTGTCTCAAAAATAAGGACAGCAGTAGATGAAGACACTTGACCTTGACCTCTGGTCTACACAGGCTTGACACACACACATCACTTGCATGTATGCATTCACACATCCACATAGACACACACACACACACACACACACACACACACACACACACACACACGGGGGAAGGCAGCTGAAGAAGAACCTGATGTCAACCTCTGGCCTCTAAAGGCACACACACACACACACACACACACACATATATATATACATAGTCATGCTTTCACATGCACAAACACATATTCAAAACCTATTCCCAGACAGAAAGACCCGGAGAACACAGGAGCTCCCCAAGGAGAGCAACAGAACAAAAAAAAATCTGGGCCCAGGGATCTTTTCTGAGACTGATACTCCAACCAAGGACCATTCATGGAGATAGCCTAGAACCCCTGCACAGATGTAGCCCATGGTAGCTCAGTTTCCAAGTGGGTTCCCTAGTAAGGAGAATAGGAGCTGTCTTTGACCTGAACTCAGTGGCTGGCTCTTTGATCACCTTCCCCTGAGGGGGAAACAGGCCACAGAGGAAGACATTGCAGCCAGTCCTGATGAGACCTGATAGGCTAGGGTCAGATGGAAGGGGAGGAAGACCTTCCCTAACAGTGGACTGGGGGAGAGACATGGGAGGAGAAGAGGAAGGGAGGGTGGGATTGGGAGGGGGCTACAACTGGGATACAAAGTGAATAAACTGTAATTAATGAAAAATAAATAAAATTTAAAAAAAACTGTTCCCATGAGAAATGAAGTCTGAATTCAAATTGAGGGTTGCACAGATGGCTCTTTGGGTAAAGGCATTTGCCATACAGCCCTGGCAATCTGGGTTAGAGCCCAGAACCTATGTAAAAGTGGAAGAAGAGAATCAACTTCAAAAAGTTGCCAAATCATACACTCATTACTCACACACAATAATAATTTTTTTTGAGACAGGGTTTCTCTGTGTAGCCTTGGCTGTCCTGGACTCACTCTGTAGACCAGGCTGGCCTTGAACTCAAAGACCTGCCTGCCTCTGCCTCCTTAGTGCTGGGATTAAAGGTGTGTGCCACTGTGCCTGGCCTTAAAATTTTAAAAAGAAATGAACTAGGAGTCTGGATTCATGGCTCAACAGCTAAGAGCATTTGTTCTTGCAGAAGATCTGAGTTCAGTTCCTAAGAAGCCCACCAACGCCCATAACCACAGATGCAGGGAATTCAAAACCTCTGTGTCTGTGGGCACTGGACATACATGTGGTACACAAACATATAAACACTCAAACACATAAGATACATGAATCTAAAAGAAAATAAAGGGGCTGGAGAGATGGCTCAGGGGTTTAAGAGCATTGGTTGCTCTTCCAGAGGACCCAGGTTCAATTCCCAGCAACCACATGCTGGCTCACAACCATCTATAATAGAATTTGATTCCCTCTTCTGGTGTGCATGAAAACAGAGAACTCTCATATACATTTAATAAACAAATGTGTGTGTGTGTGTGTGTGTGTGTGTGTGTGTGTGTTTTAGGAAAATAAGGATAGAATTTAGGGATACATAGGTAATAGAATTTAGGGACAACTAGAATTTTGTGATTTGACACAACAATCACTAGCCATGCACAGCCTGTTTATTGATAAATACATCTCCTGTGGCCCTGGCCAGCCTTGAACTCGCTTTGTTGCTGAGCGTCCACTTTCTGAATGCTGGGGTAGCAGGCATGCACTTCCACACCTGGTTTTAGGTCGTGCTGGGAAATGGGTTTCTGCGTGCTAAGCAGGTGAGTTACCAAATGGACTGCAAACCCTGCCCTGCATGTAAACCTATTCTAAATGGATAAGAATTAGGTAAAATTTCCTTCTTCAGTTCACTAGCCATATTTCAAGTGCTCACACACACATGGCTGGTGGCGCTGACAGATAAAGAATGGAAAGGATGTCTCTGCTACTGCAGAAGTCCGGTCCGCCAGCCTCAAAGTAGAGGTCAGTGGCTGGCCACCCTGCCGTGAATCAGAATTA